GAAAGACTGCAACAAAAGAGAGGCAAGAAGTGAGGAGGAAAATAAGAGACCGGGAACAGAGAGATGGGAAAGACATAAGGTGAGGAAGCATGAAGACACATGGAGACAGAGACATAAACAGAGACTGAGAGAGGGATGAGTCAGTTTTGCCTGCTCCTCCTAACCTCCCAGCCCCACTCTCAGCTGCGTTACATTCCTGTCCGATCTTGCTGTTTCTCATCTTTACCTCTCTATGCTGGCTGCTGTGTCCGCTGTTACTGTTACAGCACGGCGCTGCCACTCCGACTGTATCTGCTGAGCAAAAACGCTTCTTCAGGACCAACGGTGGGAACTCCAGATCATTTGGCTCAGCTCACCATTAAGCTTTTATAAATCAGATACATTTTGCAATATTTTGACTAATGATTGGTTTTGTGTGCTAGTGTATCACTTTAATGTAATTATGCCGAACCATGTAATTTCAAGAATATCAGAATTTTACATTATGCTTCGTATAAAAGCCTCAAATCAAAGATGCAATAAAGCAGGGACACTGCAGTCACATGGTGGTGTCTTAATCACTAGACCACCAGGTCCCCACACTTTGACTCATTTTCACCCATTAAAGCTCCAGTGTCAAACACTGAGGATGATCTATTGTCAGAAATGTAAGATAATATTCATAGGTGTGTTTTCATTAGTGTTTAATCACCTGAAAATAAGAAATGTGTTTTTGTTTCCTTAGCATGAGGCGTTTTTATCTACAGAGGGAGTGGGTCCTCTTCTGGCGGAGTCCGCCATGTGGAACCGACATGTTTTACAGTAGCCCAGAGTTTTTCTTGACAATACAGGACAATGGTGGTCCTCGTATTGACACATTTCCCAGTTTTATTGCTCCTTTAATGATGCAGGTTCATTTTTATTTGTGTTAGCTAACTTTACGCTGTTCTAACCACGGCCAACATCTCTGATCTGAGTCAGGTGCTACAATAAAATAATTTTTTCCAGGACAACATACAATATTTCCAGGATTTGTGTTCATTTTAATCATCTTCCAGGTGTGGACATGAAAAAAAAAAAAAAAAACGTTTCTAAATATTCCGTTTTTGCAGGACGCGTGGGAACCCTTAAGAAAATAGTTCCTACACATGGGCAAGACGTCAGGAACCTAAACCAAAACAATGTGGATGGATCAATAAGGATTTAGATTTGGGATGAACTGTGCCTTTAAGAGGACCTTAAGGATTGAGGTCTTGTTCCCAAAATTTACTTCCTCCTTTCTGGGCTCTCTTTCTGTTTATTATCACGCTGCAGGAACAATAAGCCCAACCTCTGAAGCCTCCTCTGGATACTCAAAGTACGACCGCTTCTAACATTTTGCTCCGGAGCAAAAAGAAAGCCACGTTTGAACTGGTATTAAATGTTTGCCGTGTTTGTTTTAAGAGCCCTTCTGATGATCTGATCGCGGTCCAGCGTTTAGTCACAGCGATTACTGTAAAACCTCAAACATTAGCCGTGCTTGTTGAGCCACACAGCCATAATAAAAATACAGTAATCACTTAATCTGGAGGATCAGCGGGTCACAGCTGCGTGCCAGAACTCACATAGAAATAATGTGTAGCTTTAAGTTAGCAGACTGTTTATATAAGGTCTATATTAGCAGATGTCCTGATATGTTAATTTATTCACTGACTTTTTTTATGTCCGGATCTTCTGTTCCTTAAATAAAGGAAATTTTCATCTTTTTTTCAGCACCAGGTTTTGCTCTGATAAACTCACATTACCCCACTGGTTCCCAACCTGACCTCCACTAGGGGTCACCAAAGCATCATTGGTGGTCGCAAGGCCTCGCAAGGAACTAATGCAATTACAGCCAGGCAACTTCATTTGTCAAAAAGAGGGCTATTAAGTATGTGTGATTGAGAAAAATGAATTAAAATGTATAAAAACTCATCTCTAATCAATATTCACAGGAAAAAATCTGCTGAAAATGTATTCAAATCGCTCGTTTTACACAAACTTCCTGCAGTTATTGTGTTCACTGTTTGGGTTAATTGTACAGTTTATCAGCTGTTCTCTACAGTTATTGTTATTATTAAATATAATCTGAAATATCCATAAAATACTCAATCACTCAATGATAGAAAGGACAAAGGTTGGGAACCACTGCTGTAAAACATCCAACCTCTCTTCCTTCTACCATCAAACCCTCATTAACAGACCACACTGGGTTGGTTATTACAGTATGTATGTGCAGGACCGCATTGAAATATATCGCAACAAATACCAAATCTTACATAATGTTGCTTTAAGATGTTATCAAATTGCAAACAGGAAAATCCTCAAGTGAGAAGGTGAATGACATTACACACAACTGAAGAGCTGTGTTGGCACTGTTTTATAATCCTTGGTTCGCTACAGATCTTATTCTCTGCAATTATCTAAAATCCAATGGAATAATCCCACTGGATTTTTGTGAAAGGAACCAGTGCGATGCTAACAGCAAACACACATCATCCCTGCAGCTCTCAATATTTGTGCATTATGTCCTTGACCGGATAAAAAGTGGATGAAAAACAGTCCATCTGAGGCATCCTTGACCGAGACACCAAACTCCCAGTCGCTCCAGTTGAACCGCACAGTAGAAAGCTGTGGCAACTACCAGGAGGTGAATTACTGTAAGAGACACTGAAGTAGGGCATGTTCACACAATTCCCCTTTGAAAAATAATTATTAAAATGAAGTGGTGACTCAATTCCCCGATGTTAACGCCCACTGCTGACTGTGAAATGTTTATTGTTGCCTGACTGAGTTTTTTCCTACCGAGTGCTGAAAAGTGAATAGCAGTCAGAGAAAGGAGCAGAGTAAAGTGATTCCCAGTGGTAAGTATTATGTACTTTTGTCCAAACACAGGACTCGGTGGAAAAGTCTGCAAGCAAAAGGGCAACTCATGCAAAACCTCAAGGCACTGCATCAATTCATAGTTCTGAGATAAAGTCATGGCACAGTAAACATTGTAATGGGAACAACATTGAGGGCCATACAGGGGGAGGAAAAAACATAAATCCATCTGAGAGCCAGCTGGGCGTTTCATGTCAAAGAGGTGCAAGCTGGGATTAATACTGCCTCTTTTTATAAACCGTCAAAAATACAAAATAAATAAAAATCACCTCCGATGAGGAGCAGCCAGGAGGAGGATTTACACGGTGAGAAATGCTGTTGCCCTGACAGGCAGCTGCGTCCTCAACGCTTTGGCTCAATAGTCTTCAGAAGATATGAAATATCTCCCTGAAAACACTGAAGCACTGCAAAAAACAAATCTCAAGAAAGAAAAAAAAAGACTTGTTTCTGGGAAATGAGGAAAATAATCTTGTCGAGCATGTTCTGCATTAGAAAAGTAATCTGGTTTTAGGGAAATATATCAAACTTTGTCTTAATAAGATAATACAGCTAATATTTGATTTAAATGAAGCAGCTATTTAGTTTTTCACTGTTAAATGAAAATAAAAATAAAAATGCTTCTGATGCCTTTATTTAACACAGTCACTTTTCTTTTATTTTGCTGTTTTAAGACATTTTGTCTTATTGTAAGATTTTATTTTTGCTCAAATTAGCTTTCAGCTGCAACTTGCTAGCTAACAATTGATGTACCATTTAACCAGTAACAACTTATATAATATATAAAATAATATTTTTCTGCAAATGGTACAAATTCTTAAATTCAGTTCAATAAAGTGACCTAAATACTTATTTTAATAAAGTCTATCTTAAATAACTTAAGTTTTCATGCTTGTGTGTATGTGTCATATTTTCTAGTTTTAAGGCCCATTACAGTATCTCAGTGGTTAGATTTTTATACTAGTTTTAAGAATTCTTACGCCACTGGCCGATTTCTTTGCTCAATACAAGGAAATTGGATTATATTTAAGAATATTTGTTTCTAGAAGGGCTGTTTTTGCAGTGTAACACTGGCAGATTCTCTATGTGATAATCTCCCTTCAAGAATTTATGAAATATCAGGAATCTTCCAGCGACTGGACGGGTTTCTGTTTATCACCTTTGAGTACATGTTGACCCACTTCTATTTCCCAGCTTTCTCTGCTTCATTCCTTTCCCTGTAAGGCAGGACGGATCTGAGGAGGAGCTCGATGGGTGGCAGGTTGTAATAACACTGTGAGTTCACTTTCCACTGGGGTCAGAAATGTGTGGACTTCCTGGCACTCCCAGGCAACATTGGAATGAAAGCAAACGCCAAACGGCAGATGCTGGCTTCACAAACAGACACAGTGGACAACCAAAGTCAGCGAGAACGTCAGATTGAAGCCTGGACTTCTTTCCTTTGAGGCCTTTAAATGACTTAAAAAGATGGAAAGACCCAGAATGGTTTCATCGTCCAACATCTTTGTGATTTAAATGTACAATTAGTTTTTTATAGTTTTTACTGTCACATAGTACAAACAATCTGCAGGCACCTGTTGTGGATCAGACCCAGTGACTCAACCATTATTTAACCAGCTACTCAGATTTCTGGACTTCAGAGCTCAACGTCTGGCCCAAAATCTGTTTTGGAACAAAAATTCGCCACCTATCAGAGCTCCAAACACTCATGATCTGTTGATCATTATCTGTTAACCCTTTAAACCCTTGGCTGTTTCTTCTGGGGTCTCCAATATTGCATTTTAGACAGAGAAATCTCAGAACAGAAAGTCTAATTTGGCTGAGAATCATGCTCTGGTTGATACAAACAGGTGTTTTGATGTTGCCATGTAAAGTGATTCTGTATTCACTGTAACCATAATTTAAGCCTTATTAGTTTGATATTGCAGAAGAAGTTTAAATTTGATGATTAAAAGGTATAAATGTGATGTTATATGGAGCATATTTTTAAACATAAATTCTAAAAAGCTTTAATGACGTTTATGCTTTGGACTGGAGAAACTTTAATCACCAGAAACAGGAACTACTGATTCCAGTATTATCTGAATGAAGTCTTTAACAGTATATTATGAAGCTGCACTCACCTTCTTTGGTGTTGCCATCAGTCTGCTGCGGCACTCCAGGGCCAGACTGGTATTCAGGGGTGACGGTGACGCGGTAGGTGGTTCCAGGCCGAAGCTCCTGCAGCACAATTGTTGAGTCAGGGCCAATGGTGGACGTCTCTAGCCTCGATCGCTCGTCCCCTACGGGTTCGTACGTCAACCTGTAGCGAGTGACGGCTCCTGGAGCTGGCTGCCACGACACTCTGAAGCTATCTGTGGTCTCTTCGGATACTCTCAGGTTTCGCACGGAGCCGAGTTCTGCAAAAAGTGTGACCGAGTTAGGATGCTCTCACCAGCTTAATAAACAAAGGTAATTGTCTTGAGTGAACATAAAATACCTTCTAACGTGGTCTCGTAGCCGGTCACAGGCAAGCTTGCTTTCTCCCCATTCTCATACAGAGCCTGAATGCTGACTTCGTAGCGGGTAAGTGGGGTGAGGTGGGGGAGGAGGGTGGTACGTGTGTCCCCGGGTACAGACATGGACACATAATGGCTGTTGGCATCATCTGCTGGCTTGAACTTTACCAAGAAGGAGTCGACGTTGGTGGCATCGATCTCCCAGGAGGCCCTGAAGCTTCTGGGGCCGACCTCCGAGAAGGAAAGGTCCCTAGGCTGTATCAGTCCTGGAGAAAGTGGAAGGTAACTAAGTTAAAAGGTGATTTTAACCATTTTGTTTTTACTTATACATTAGTTGTCAAGAAAACTGTGATGAACCTCAGCAGTAAAGTTGTCAACTTATTTCTTTTCCACTGATGTTTAGACGTCAAAGATCACTGAGTGACTCTTAGCGTCAGTGATGTTACATATGAAATACATATGATTGAGCAGGAATCAACAGGACGATTATTCTACATCTCAATACCACATCAATAAAATCCATGAATTGTCCAAAAGCCAGATTTTGACATTTAAAGGATCAGTGTGTAGGATTTAGTGGTAAGCGTGTGAGACAGGGTTCATGATCTTGTCATGATATTATCAGTTAGTTCACGTTTACGTAAGCACATGTCACATTTTGTTTTACAGGAAGACACAATGATTGGATTTTGAAATTTGTATATATAACCGAGGACGCTATCTTTAAAGGGTTAAAATGAAATTTTTCATTCCACCTGGACTTTAAAGGTAGAAAAATGAAGATCACAGAAAACAACGCTAACTGAGCCAGCCTCTATCTTGGTTAAAAGTTGGTTTGTGCTGCATAAAAAACAACCAAGACTCTCTTCAAAGAAAGGAAACAGTAGCAAAAGAAAGGATCCAGAGGGTAGAGGGGATGGCCTACATGACATTTAATAGCGATGTACAATCCACAACCCATTTGACAGCCACATCATTCAAACAAACATCAGGAGGGCGGCTGCTGTGAAACTCCCCACTGAGGGAGCTCTTTGAGCCAATTTGGTGCCTGGAAGCTGTGACTGTGCAGCTCACTCAGGCTCCTGAACACTTCTCTCTGTTGACATAAAGTCATTATTATATAAGAATTATATAATCAGCAATCAAAGCTGGTGTGAGTCACATTCTGTCCTGGCAGACCTGGAAGCTGCTCTTGGCAAAGTAACAGAGTGATTAATATTTGGCTTTAAGTGGGTGAAACAGTATTTGTGAGTAACTCTTCTTGCTTGTTTAAACTTGACCACCAGATGTTCGGGGAGGTTGATTGATGATTTCAGCACCAAGAATGCATTTCAAAGTCAAAGTTTTGTTTAGAGATATGTGACGGACAACACACCTGACAGTCTGGACTGCGTTGATGTGGCAATAACTGAGTCATCTGGTGCTTCAGCTAGGTTTTAAACAAAAGCTAAGAGATCTCTGCAACCACTGCTTGACCCAGTTCTCAAATTTCCACATGCAGGAACTCTCTCTGCCCTTGAAAGATCAAAAGGTGGACATATGTTTAACACATTGAGGCAAATAGGAGGGCTCGGGTGAAACAGACACGCTTGAAAAAGTCACATGAAAGTAATTGTGTGCATATGGACGACTGTTGGTGCTTGTCTGTATTCTCCCCCACAGTGAAGGCTGGTAGAGTTAGATCTGACTGCTGCAGTAATTAATAGTTAAAATGTTGGTTTAATCACTACAAATCTTAATAGATGGCTGGTTGTTCTCATTAAACCTTCATATTTCGGATTAATGAGATGAGCCCACAGAGTGATGACAAGCATTCATCATGTACAAATAAAAAGCTTATGTATTTTTATGATCAAAAAACAGTATCAGCTCTACATGTTTGAAGAAACTGTAGTTTGGCAATTCCACATTTTGAAATGATCACAAATTAGCAAAATAAATGATGTTAGCTCATTCACAGGCGCTAAACTCAAACAAAAACTGTTTGTCAATGGGCTACAGAAATAATTTAGAATATATGTTTATATATGTTTCTTTAACAACTTTGAGTTCTTCTCTTAGCCATTTTAAGTCGTCAGAAAACTTTTGAAACAAATTGGTAATCGAACAACAAGCTTAAAAGAATATTTTTTAAACAGTTTGTTGCTCCATCCTCCAGCCGAGGAATTTCCCTCAGCTGTCGTTGGATGGAAACAATTAAAGAGGTTTTAAGAAAACTGCACTGCAGAACCAATCCAAAGTCTTTCAGGTGGTGACACGTGGAAGTCATGTGCTTGTAAACACTGTCGTACCTTATAACATTGCCTGTGACATCCATTTTCAATATTTTAAGTTAAGTTATCCTTGATTGAGCCCGTAGGGAAATTCATTCTCTGCGTATGACCTATCTCAAGACCTACGACGCCCAAGGAACAACTCCAGATCTGGAATAATTAACCAAATGGAGGAAACTGACACAAACACTTTCCCCAGCCGGGAATCAAACACAGGACCTGATACCCTATATCTTCACTTTGTTTCACTACAGAGGAGAATGGGGGGAAAGCATCGTTTTAGGTAATCTGTGCCCTTAAAGTAAGGGGTGTATGTTTGTTGGCGGCCATTCTCTACTTTAAAATCTTGAGAAGACTGGTAGGCACAGAGCACTCTGATCATCAGTGTACTCCGTAGTCAGTACATTTTTGTGCCACAGATTAAACAAAGCTTGCGGAGTATTAATATAGGTATTAGCAAGCAGCTTAGCAAACTATTCCCGCTACAGAGCAATGGATAAACCGGTAAAACAGGTCCCAATCTTCTAACAAACAATTGATAATCACCAGTGTCATCAATCAGTCGCTCTTTTCTTTGGATCAAAGGCGTAACCATTGTACGGTCCAAATGAGAAAATGCACCCACTGACATTTAAAGGAACTGGCTGTCTTTAAACCAACCTACCAGTTAGAATTATACATTTCCAAAAATGTCATATTTTTAGAAATAAAGTCTCTAGGAGAGTCTGAAAAGTCACCAAGCTAGCAACACTGAATGAGGGTACTTGTTGCAACCAAGTTGAGGGGGAGTCACACACTTAATGTTTTCCTTAACAAACAAGTGTGGTTGCGTCCTAGCTTTGGAGATCTGTGTGTTACATCCTGGTTAAAAGTTTATTGAGAACCAAACAATCATGTTGCAATAAATCTGTGTGGAGACAAGTGGTTGCTGAGGCATTAAACTTATAAACAGTGCTTATAGAAGCCCAATTATGGACTGAACTGAATGGAACCATTTAAACCAACAGCATAGGAGAGGACCCAACCAGTGGAAAACAGCTAGCATGTGGATAAAAACATACAGACTACTGCTAGTTTTCATTACCTTCAAACAAAAAATAATCAGAAAAAACCTTGTTAATTATGACTATTGCCTTTTCTGACTCAAACAAAATGACAAGAATCAATTCAGAATTTGATACAAACCAGATCAAAATCTAACTTATACCCAACCCTAAAACAAGAGTAGATTGCTCAAAAGAACTTGCAGAAAAACACAGTGTCATCAGCATAGAGAATTACTTACGTCTCTGCTGGATGGTGCGGAGTTCTTGCTCGATCCTCAGGCAGATGGACTGTGTGAGTTCTTTGGAAATTCTCTCAAAGGCATCAAAGTCCTCCACGGTATATACGTGGGTCTCGGCCGGCGTGTTGGCAATTGCCTCCAGCTCAGATCGTACAGCATCCTTAACCCCCACTGCAAAGATCTCCACATCAGAATTCCTCAGCTTGGTGGCTGGATCCTGGAAGGCGTCAGATGACTTTCCGTCTGTGATGAGGATGTTGATGCGGGGAACGTTGGGTCGCGCCCCTCTGGCGGCCTGGAAGATCTTCTCTCTTACATAGGTCATGGCCCTGCCAGTGTTGGTGGAGCCGCCACGGTACGGGAATGTTCTCACTGCCTTGACCACAGCGTTCAGGTCATGGTGAGTGTTCAGGTAGAACTCTGTGTGGGGGTCCCTGCTGTACTGGACCAAGCTGATCTGGACCTTATCTGGCCCAATGTCAAAGGAGTTCACCAGCACCTCCAAGAAAGCTCTGACTTTAGCAAAGTTAGCCAGACCGATGCTGTAGGAACCGTCAACCAAAAGGACGACATCAGCTTGAACATCCACGTTGAGAGAGCATTCTGGATTGGAAAAACAAAAAGCACAATAGAAAGTTGTAATTTACGAGATTCAGTGGAAGCACTTAAATTGTCAGACTTTACATCCTTAATCAGTGAAGTAAATAAAAGCCACACTGATTCTTAAAATTATACTTTAATTTAGCACAACAGCCCTAACCCTAAACACAACATTACATTAATTATTTAGTTGTTTTTTTAATCCTTTTTAACAAGGACATTTAAGTGCTGTTTTCTTAGCGTTAAGCTAGCTTTGTAATAATGATAAAAAAGTTATCAATCTCATGTAATGAAAACACTGAAGATCAATTTTGAGGCTGTTCAGTAAATAGTTTTCTAATAATATAGCCACTTCTGATCAACCAATATCAATTTCAGGCTTAAATTAACGATTTGTGGTTTTTCCCGTCCACTTTCAGTTTAAGCACCGCCTTTCCCGAGTCTGTTTATGAATACAGATAGATAATGGTGGCTGATGTTGATGATTGGAGGAGCTTTCAGACTGACTTTCCAAGTCGTAATTAAGACTTAATCCTCCTGGATCCACATTTTTCACATATATTTTATAATCTTCATCAGAATTCGTGTCATCAAAAAATTTATACAATGTAATTCCGGTGGTTTGTTCTGTTCACTCGACATCTATTGCATGTCTGTCCTGTCTTCTGTGGTTCTTACTGAGGGTTTTTTTCTGTTAAAAGGGCTTTTTGGGGAGTTTTTCCTTACCCAAATCAAGGCTCTAAGACAGAGGGTGTTGAATGTTGTACAGATTGTAAAGCCCCCTGAGGCAATTTGTGATTTTGGGCTGTATAAATACAATTTTACTTGACGCAAATGGTGTTTACAAGTTGGAAACTGGTAATTCTGAACTGGCATCAGGTTTGGAAAGCAATTAGCCTAGCTTAGCATAAAGACTAGAAGCAGGGAAAATAATATGCCCCAAAGTCTTGCCAGTTATCACAGTGAGTCTTGTTTGTTCCATAAATCAATCCATAAACAAACAGAGATGTAAAAACAACAATTTGTGGTTTTAGAGGGAGCTTGTAAGCTAAGCTAATCACTTCCCAATTTTAGCTCCATACCTCCATATCACACAGACATGAGAGAGGTACTAATCTTATCATCTAACTCTCTGTAAGAAAGAAAATATTTTCCAAAATCATGAACGATTCCTGTAAAGTGACCTGCTGACCAACCCACTCGAGCACAGGGTCTTCTGGATTATTGATACACTTATAGAAAGTTTTTTGACCCAGTATTTGACCCACTATCTTTATGTTGTACCCACCCTGTGATACTTTAACCGGTGCCGTCATCTGCATGACTGTGACAGGCTCGCTTGGCGTCAGGCCCCTCAGAGCGAACAGATTGATCTGGTACTCTGTGTCTGGAGAAAGGTCTCTGACCACCACCGAAGTCTGGCCCGGGCCCACGTACAGCTCCTGCCGCTTGCTGCCGGTCATCATGGGGATCATCTGCACCTTGTATCCTGAAACCTCTCCGATAGAGGCGTCCCAGGTCACACGTATGGACTTCGAGGCCACTTCCAGGACTTGGAGGTTAGAGGCTGGCTCAACGACTGCAAAAACAACATAATCAAAATTAAGAAGAATTAAAGGATTCTCTGAATCTCATTGTTTAATAAAGTTCAAGCTACACAGCACTGGGGACGTAACACACACTCAACTCTATTGGCTGCTTTAAGAAGCCAATCAATATCCGCTACAAGTCCCTCTCTAGCTGCCTGTTTTTACAGGATATGCTTAAATATGAGGAAGCAAACAGCACTCTACTTCCTGTTTAATGGGGACTCTCAGATAATGTGCAAAGGGACAACAGAAGACAGAACGTTTGAGACATATGTGCCATTTAAACCAATCTCACCTTCTTCTCCGCTGACCAGTGAGTTGAGTTGATCGTCAACACTCGCGCACACCTGAGTGATGAGCTCTTTTTGCACATTCTTGATCATGTCAAAGTTGGCGACGTTAAAGATGCGACTTGAGTGAGGAGTGGAGGCCATTAGCTTCATTTCCTGTTCATCGGCCTGTTGGACGCCTAAAAGGAACAAAGAAAACAAAAAAAATCAAAGCTGTGGCAAATGCATAGAAAGCTAAGAGAGGCAACACCACTGACTTCATAGCAGCCCTTGTTAAAGTGGCTGGCATTGTGTGCGGATAACTGAGTCAGAGGTAAAAGGTGAACTTGCTCCAGATCTATAAATACCAGATGAAACAAGCAATCTATAAAAACGCGAAGTGAAACGTTTGTTTTCCACGTTAGTGTATTAAAAGTTCTCCAGCTGGATTCACCACCAATCAACAACAAAAACCTCAACTTTTTATTCTACTCGGGCTGGAAAGTCTGACAGCGCGGGCAGTAAATATGAAACTGGTTGGACTCCATTTTAACACTGGTGACTTTTACAATCCTATATTCCTCTGTAGCACTTTGACACTATTAGTTAAGCTGTGAGTTTCAAAGTTCGACTCAGTACTGTACTTCAGTGAAGTTCAGTCCTTCATTATTTCCAGTTTTGGAAACGTTCAACTTTTACTGAACTATATTTCAGAGGTTAATAGATTAATTACATTGCAGATTCCGATTTTTATGTGAATTTTGAGCATACGATAACATTAGATATTGCTCTTTGTCTTTCCATTTCCCCTTATTTCCATCCTGATAAAGGTTTGTGGACTGCATAGCAACCAGGAACAAAAGAATTTCAGGGTTACCACTCTTTGGAAGAAATCGTTTTCGAGGAGTTTTTCTTGTTATTACAGGACAGTGCTTGCTCACAAACGGCGGTCAGCCATTGGTCATGTAGTCACGTCAAACGTCAGGTGCACTTTTAGGTTGCGTTTGTGGCACGCTTGGCTGTTCTCACCAAAGCCGAGAATTGCACTTTCTGAACTTACAGTTTTCTTCTAACTGTGACATTAGTTAGGCTGCAGCAAAGGCTAAAATACAATTAAACATTTCCTTGGCAACACAGATTATTTCCAGGATATTTGGTCATTTAACTTAATTTCCAGGTTTTCCAGGACGCTTGGGAATCCTGAATTTGATTGTTTATCCCTTATAAAGTCTGATTTCTATAAATATATTTGACTGTTGCTAGTGCAAAAGACCCTCGAAAACTGACATGAAACAACTGTTCATGCGTTTCGTTCAAAAAATCACATATCAAAGTTGTTCTGCTCAAATTTCACAACTCAAACTCATTAAATTTACTTTTAATGTCTGAAAAGAAGCAAAGCTTGTCTGTGATTTGAGAAAACTCCACCACCCTAAACCATTTAAAGCCTGAATAACCTCCAGAAACATTAGAGCATTAGAGGCCAAGATAATGAGGTCTGTTTATTTCCTTTAGGAGAAATGGACATTTACAGTGTTACTTCTGCAGCCCCTCCTGCAAGCACTGAGAGCATATTTCATGTTCCACTAAGCATTTTTCAATCAGTGACCTGTTTCCAGCAACCGCAATAGATGATCTGTTATTATTTTACTACCAGCCCTCTTTAACACCATAGCAACAGCCCACTCCTGTTTCTCCATCCCGAGATTGTGGAAAGTCTGACAGTGAAGCGCAAACATACATAAAACTTGCTATCACTCGCTTGTAATGTTAATGATGTAGGAATTTCACCTTCTGTTATAACGTCATCACAAGCTGCTTTTTCTTACCAACGCCAGTTAAAAAGCATTAAATGGAAAATGTACAATGTGGAATGTAATAAACTTGTTCTGGCTACGTACCGAGGACAAAGATCTCCACCCCCCTGCTCCTGAGCTGCTTGGCGTAGCTCTCCACTGGATCCTCCGATCTGCCATCTGTGATGATCACCAGTACTTTGGGAAAACTCTTCCTGGCGCCGGCCGCCTCGGTGAAAGTGTTTTTCAGGAGGTAGTCAAGGGCATCGCCTAGAGTAACGAGACAGGCAGGAAGTGTTAATGATGCACAGGCAGAAAGCGTCTGCTCACATAGGATGGGTTTAACATTGATTATAGTCACTTTATCACAAACTGACCAGAGAAGGGCTCAAAAAAACCACATCAGGTTGATTTTGTTAAATAAATTTGATCCATTTATGAAGTTTCTGGATATAACTGTTGCTACATTTATTCATTTATTACATTTATTTTTATTCTGTACCTCTAAATTATTTGTCATTGCTGAAAGTTTTCTTTTTAAAACACATAAATATCACCACTAAAAACACATATTGTATTTTAACTGTTTATACTGTCATATCAACCTACCTCATGTACCTAAAAATACCTGCAAAGAAATAAGTATTCTAGCATACTTGACACTCTGCACCAGTAATTTGTAAAAACTGTAAATGTCTTATATTTTATCATTAGTTATATGAAATAAAAAATAAAACAAAAAAAGACCCACAGAAAAGTAACAGAAACTAAACTGAGATAAAAACAGAAAACAATATAAAAATCTAACATTAAAGTTCCTACAAGGAATTTTCATGTTGTGTTGATTCTGACGCCTCCTGTGGACAAACACGGTAGTGTTTCTACCGACTCATTAATTGATTTCAAGGGAAGACAGAAATATAGATATAGAAATAATCAATCTTCTCTCTGATGGTTTAGTTGTGTAGATTGTATAGAGGCATCAGTATTAAACGCTTTAACGTACCTGTCCTGGTGTCTCCTCCTTTGTACGGCATCGAGCCGATGGCCCGAAGCAGCGCTGGTCGGGTGAAGTGTCTGTTCAGGTTGAACTCAGTTCGGGCGTCGTTGCTGTACTGGACCACGCCCACCCGGGTTTTGTCCTTCCCGATCTGAAAGGCGCCGGCCGTCACTGAGATAAAGTTGCGGATGTATCGGAAGTTCGGCCTGCCCACGCTCCACGAGCCGTCCACCAAGAACACCACGTCGGAGATGGCACTGAAAGAGCATTCTGGGAAAAAATTAATTTAAATTTAAATTAAATTAAATTTAAGTTAAAGTTAAATTAACATAAAACGTGGCACGTGTCAAGAAATACCCCAAGTTTTATGTCAGAAAATTGGTTTTATTCCATCAACGAAGAAAAGGTTCTTGATAATTTTAACCGCGTACTGTGGGGATAAACAAGTACAACACTATCTACATCTGTTCAACAAACTAAATTATCTGTATTTGTACTCGAAATGGGTTGGGCTTAAACCCAAAGGAGGAGGGGCTAACCCAATGTTGTTAATTTAAGCCTGAGATTGATACGGATTATATCAGGAAAATATTTACACGGCAATAATTTTGATAATAATTTTGATAAGAGAATTATTAAAAGAACAAGTTTTCTTCTTCTTGGTACTCGTACATTATCTGTACCGGATACTACTATTTGGCATATAGAGTATATTTTCAGCTATGACAATTTAAGATCTATTTTGGCAAAAAGATCAGATCGGTTTAGGTTCAATGACGGTTTTATTTTGTAGTCACTACGACGTGATCAATAAAAATTCTTCCCAAAAACACACTTAAAAGCGAGAATGAAAAAAGCAACGTAATACAATTTTTAAACGTTTAAACGTTAATAAATCCAATTAATTAATTAATTAAATCATTATTAAGACCTGTCAAAAATCCAATGTAAGACTTTTTGAAGTTTGAAATTTAAGTCCTATCCTTTACTTCCATAGTGGCAAAAAAAGTAGGAAGGATATGAAGGAAATCAGTTTATGGTCAATGACGTTTTCATTTTGAAGTTGTTACGATATTTTCCCCAAAACACATTTAAAAATGAGACTAAAAACTTTCAACTTCATTAATCCAATCAAGACCTCGTGGACACCCTGTTAAAACTCATTATTCGTTATTTTCTGGACTTTTAAGAGTCCTGAATGTTCGCTCCGGCTGGATGTTGAATCAAACTGTGCTGACTCTCTGCCTCGCTCGGCTTTCTGGGAGTTTTCCTTTTATGATTTTCCTCTCATGAAAAGAAGGAAAAATCAGCACTAGCATCATCATCCTCTGCAGAACCGGGCAAGGGAAGCAGCAGCAGCAGCAACGCTCTTGTAAATCAGCATCTGTAATGGTTTCCATTTCTCTCAGCACTTCAGGGCTGGGCTCCTCTCAGCTCACTGCCCCCACCCAAGCTCCCAACAGCAGCCTCCAGCCCCGCCTACAACCATGTGCGGCTTCCTCCACGCTGGCATAATTGGCCGCCGGGGGGTGGGGGGGACCGAACCGATGACCGAATCCTTCAGAGATTTACGGGGGCCTAATTTTGATTATTGCCGTACAATGAGGGTGTTGTGTGGCAGGAGCCTCCCATCACTGCTGAGCTCACGCTGATGGACGCCGCCCAGCAAGCGAGGAAGAAAGTTCGAAAAGTGGAAAAAGTCGAGGAGGTACAGCGAAGACTTGAACGCTGCTGGTGACTCACTATCTCAGCGAAACCCCTCGTCAAATTAAACATGAATGAACAACAGGACTTACTGACTGAATCCGAAGGGTCGGGTTTCCTGGAAGTTCCTCTTGAGCCGCCACTCGACTCGACTGAAAGACAACAACACAATAACTCAATTAGTCTATATAACTATAACTATTGTTTAAAAGTATCCTCAAGTCGCCACTTTCTGTCAGCAAACTGCCTGTTTTTCTTCAACAGATGGCAGACCGGTTCAAACTGGATCAAAAAGACATGAGATTTATCCTCTCATCCGTAAATTGCAAAATGAACGAGCAAAATCGAGCTCCCAATCGAGTTGATGTCAGTGTTTCTGACAGATTTCCAGGGAATCTCCGGGGCTCAGATCATCAGTGTTCTGATGGCGGTGCCAAACAGGCGTCCCCACCAAACTGCTGCCATGACTCTAGTGAAGACCTCACTGGAAATCTGGGTCGCTGCTCATTTACTGATTTGATGTCTGATGTGACTGTAAGATTCACTGGGGTTCGATACCGGTACCGGTTCCTGAACGATAGGACTAATTAACGTTAACATTAATTTTAACATTATACATTACGGTACAATTACTCACTTTGAAGGAGGAAGCTGTTCAAAGTTGCTAAAACCTGGATAACTGCATTAAAATGGTGAAATAAAACTGAATATCTGTACAATATTGGACTGTATAAAAACTATAAATAACTGTTAAAGGAACATTAAAAAGAAACACAGTGATACGTCTAATCCAGGGACTGATTGTGTTGGGTCGTTTATGGTTGTGGAAATAGTGTCAGAGTGAGACCTCTTCCTGATCTGAGTAAAGAGCTAAAATACAATTAAAATCCAGCATATTTGGTCATTTTAATCAACTGGAAAACTAATCTCTAAATTTTCAGGAGGCATGGGAATGCTGTTTTAAGATCGACTAGAAATCGAAGGGATCAAAAGAAGAAAAAAACATATATTCTAAACAAATCTTTGAATGGTGATGGTGATGAAGACCATGTGATATGATCAAAAGCTCAAGAACAGCTGCTAAATAATGTTTCCTCTCATCCAGAGCTGTAAAACCGAAAAACAATGAAAAACCAAAACCGATTGCAGATGGCGGACAATAAAACATCTCGTCTATAATACGTTATCAGGTGTTCCTATTATTTTGTCCACTCGGTGCAGGGGGCCCTTTAGGCCGTTGGGGGTTTCGGACGGAAGCAGCTCGTCATCGCGGTGACTTCCTGCCAGAACTGACCAGCTGCAAACAAATTTCACTAGCATTCGGGGACGTCTGGTGCTGATTTACTCACACAAACACACTCGGGGACACACGGCGACTTACTTGTGATCTGGCCGGAGATGGGCAGACTCTCCTCTGATCCGGCGTACGCGGATATCGTTACGACATAATCCACATCTGGACTCAGGTCTGAGATGGAGGTCTTGGTCGCGGATGCAGGCAGAGTAAATTCTTTCATTGGTTCTTCTACAAGAATGCAGAGAGAGAGAGAGAGAGTCAGAGGGAAGCCATTAGGAAACTATTGCATTACTTCATTTCTCCGAGAGTCAAAACAGGGCTTCAGAAAAACCTGATTCCGACTGTTGACCTGAGGACTGGAAGAGCCGTGTAAACACACAACAACAGTATGATTTAATTTAATGAAAACTTTCCGCATTACTATGAATCAAAACACATTATTTTAACCCTTAAACGTCAGATTCTTCCATTAAATAAGGTGTAATTATTTATTAAATAGGTTTTATGGGGATTTATTCATGTGTTGATTCTACAGGAATATTAATGCTAAATTAAACCATTAAGTGTGTATAAAATCCAATAAATAACACCTTAAGACCCCATTTGTGCTCAGTATTACAATTAAAAATGCTAATTTAAAGTTACTAAATTTAATTAAACTGACAGATAGTGAATTAGATTTGTTTAAGGGGGTTAAATAAGGGGTTTTGAGATTATGTATGCTATTTTTATTCAATCTGTACAAAAACAGAAACGTGAAAAAAACACCAAACTGTAAATTGTGGTTTTAAGGGGAGTTATTTAGTTATATGTTGGAGTTAATTTGTTGACAAATAGAGAAATCTGGGATTTTCAGTCAGTGAAAACCTAATAACGGTATTTTATTTATAACAGTAACAGACTTAAACTTGGAAGTTATTGAAATAGAAATGTGGAAGCTAACATTAGCTCTGTCAGTTGGCTAGTTAAGTTAGCTAACAGAATGTAGCATTTACACATCGCAGTTACTGCCTGTAAATTTAATATTAGAATATTAATGATGTTTAATCTTCATATAAACATTAATCTCCATTTAGTAGGAATTGCTACTCCAACCCCAACTGGTCGAGGCAAAGGGAAGTGTGCCTTGCCGCTGCCACTAAGTGCTTGCTCATGGTGGGAACTGTTGGGTCTCTGTAAATAATGTTATAAAGATATATGAAAAATGTCCTGAGATAACTATTGATATGAATTGACGCTATAGGCTACAAATAAAATATAACGGAATAACTAGTTATAACGAGGTGAAGTTTGAACTATGAGGAATCAGACAGCTGCTGACTTTGTGCCTTTCTCAACCTGGTGCCAGAAGCAAATTATTGTCTAAAATATGAGATAAAAAAAAACAGAAATGTATGTGGACACACAGTTTTTGAATTAGAGGTAGTTGAGTATTTTAAGAATTTCCACACAGGTTTTAATGAACTCTGACAGATGTGACATCTATCCTGAGCTTAACTGAAGCTGACAATTTTTCCACAGAAGAGATAATGTTTTTCTTTTCTTTTTTCTTTTTTTATCATTAGAGCTCCTGGAGCCAAACATGTGTCTGCAGAAATCTCCAGATAATTGCAGGGAGTGTTGAGTCTTGCCGGGCAGATTGATGTCTGAGAGGGTTTATGACACTTGTAACGTTACGGGGCTCGGCAGGACATAACTCGTAGGTTTAATGAGCACCCACCTGTGTCTGAGGTCACTTGTATTCTGTAGCCCTGTATCCGCGACTGTGGTCTGCTCCAGATCATTTGCACTGTGTTCTCATTTAATATCTTAAACCTCAAATCTGACGGAGGGTCGACTGTGAAGAGAAAAGGTAAACGCAGTTAATCCTGCAGCTTGCAGAGGGTGAGACTGTATTATAAACGTGAAATATTTTAATTTTCCCAACAGTCAACACTTCCAGGGCGAAGTTTGACAAGTTCACTGTTGGAGCAAACAAAAACACAAAAGACAAACCAAACTACAGATGTGAGGGAAGCCATTTTGGAGAAATAAATGACCTCCGTTTGAGCTTGTGTGGCCAACAGCCACAGTCAACAACTCAAGCAACAACACACTGAGACAACAAACACAACAAAACAACACGGCGTTACCTTCCTACAGATTAAACATTCAAGAAGGAAACACGAACAGGCCGGGAAGATGAAAACTTTGATAAATTTTGTCTGTGACTGAGTCTATGGAAGCAAAGAAAGGCCAATATGAACTATATGCAGGTTGTAAAACATACCTACTAAACACAACATAAATTATAGCACTGATTTAACCACATGTAACAATTCAATTTTAATTTCCTTTCTTTTTTAGGTTTCACAAAGCCAGGAAAAAAGTGTTCAATACATGGTTTATAAAATGGTTTCAAGATGCTCAGATTTAACTGGTAATTGTCAGATTCTAAGTTGGTTAAATTTGGACACCAAAACTTGAACGAATCAATGTGTCCAATCAGATTACTCAGTCACATCTAAAAAAGCAACTTGACTTTTGTTTTACTTAAATATTTCACTGAATTCGCACTGAAATATGATACTGTGAAATATTGTGTTAGAAACGTACCATAAATTCTTAAAATATTGGACGAATTTCAATTTTTCTGTTTCGTAATCCTGTAAATAAGTTTTAAAAGGTAAAATATGCTTAAATAAATGCGATACCTTCAGTCGTGGTTAGATTTCACGTAGTAAAGTATAAATTGTCGTTCTTTGCTTCCATACAGGTAAAAACCAACACAATGCAGGTGGTTTGTATCCAAAAATCTCTCAAACTAACATTAAACTAAACTAGAAAAAGTTAAAGTTAGTGTCAACAAGCTACAACATGGACCGGCTGACATCCAGCAGACTGTCCATGACCTCAATCCAACTCATGATGTTGAATTGACAAACAACAAAAAACACATAAATCCGTTGAAATTCTCCGGTATTGATTATACAATGGACGAAGATCTGATCTGATCGCTTTCATCGTCTCCATTGCAAACCTCATAAAAGAATACACGATGTCAACAAAGACACGTGTACGTCTTTTTTTCTGCTCGATCGTTTCCCAAAAATCTGTATCAGAGGTTCTTAAACTACTTCAGTTTTTAATAAATAATCTTTTGTCTTCTTCTTTTTAGTCTCCAGATTAAAAACTCCCAAGAGTTATTTTTAGGATCTGGACTGTAATTTAAGAACCGCTGGTTTTTGTGACGAACAAACAAACAGATTAAAGTTGAATTTGATCACGGACATTGGGGGGATCATGCACGTGTACATGAAAAGTTGTTTACAACAACTTGGAGCAATGGACAAAAAGTTTCCATGTACACGACGGACCAAAGGTTATTTTTTTGTAAATATTTTAAAATGATATTCTTCAGGTTGGGGTGGATCATAAATCAGTACAAATCTAGCTTGCTATAATGCGCAGATCTTATGGTCTTATCGGATCGGACTTGCTTTACTTTGAGGTTTTAATCTTGATAAGAACTTAAAATAAATAGAAAATAACTCTACAATCAAACAAGTTAAAGTAGCTGGTAATAAAAACCTATTTTTAAAAGAAAGGATCGACATGAAAGAGACAACGAAAATGTACAAAAGTAAGTCCCGATGGCCGAGCGTTTCTGACCACGAACTGCAACGGTCCTGGTTCGGAAAAAGACTATTTGTGCACTAGAACTTGGGTCCGGAGACCAACAAGGTTCTTGAGCGTGTTGTACGGAGGACCCGAACAAAAGGAGGAATATATCTTAGCTTTTTTTTGTGGAATTTGGAACAAGAGAAGAAATAGGGTTGAACGTTTGATGGACTACTAGAATTTTCCTTAAGACAAAATCCCCTTAAATTCGGGTCCGTGGTCTAAGGTGGATCTACCATGGTTCGGAAATACCTGAATAAGAAAGTAAAGCTTTAAGGAGTAAATAAGTTCTGGGTTATACGAATCTTTACTTAACGTATCAATCCAACTGTTTATTGGATATCTTCTTTCAAAATCTTTAACCAGTTACTTCTTAAACTTGCCTGAACATTATCGAACTTCTTTGTGTACAAACAATTGGAAATAGCATGTTTTAATCTTCTCATGCTGGAGGAACGGTAGTGTCGATAACATTACTCATAAACAGAAAACAGTACACACAAAATGTAACCTAGCTACAGTTAAAAGATTACCATATCTGAGTCTTTTCTTTCTAGACCGCCAACCAGTTCATCTGTTAGTGTGGGAGTGAAGAATATCATTGTAAAATATTGTCGTAAAGCCAAGACTCAGGGTCAGCTGACCCAGTCGAGGCTTGACCGGGAGGGTGACAGGACGTCAAAAATGGAGGAACCACCAACCTGGTGAGTCAATTCAAGGGCCCGCGGGGCTGCTGCTTCTGTTTCCAAAACGGCCCAAAAGACTACCCCCAACAAAATCTCCACAGCTCTTAAACCTCACATCCAGGGTTTGGAGCTCGTCTGCATCCAGGGCCTCTGCTCTAAACTGCTTTTATTTTGTAATTGTATCACCTGTGAGATGTGGCAGTTTAGAGCAGAGGACCTTCCCTTCGGAGTCTCCTCGAGCTGTTTGAGCCTTCAACTCTGGCCCCAAACGTGTCAAAACTATTCCACACCAATATATACGACCCCATTACAATGCCGTGACCTCGGCAGGCAGCGAGGCGTCGGGGGGGGCCACCGCTGGGGCATTAAAGGTGGTCGCAGGAGGTCAGAAAGAAAGACTCTCCTCTTGCTGCTGGTTTGATGGGTTTTTACTGCTTTTCTTTCTTATATATTTTTTTATTCTGAGAGAAAATCCAGAGGCAGAGAGGAGCAGACGTTCTCCTCTCCTAACCTCTAAAACCTCTGGAAAATAATGTGAAACTCATATTTTGTCTTTCCGTTCCATCAGGAGAAAGGACGTAGGGAGGAAACTTGGCCACGTGCCGTCTAGGTTTTTTTTTTTGTGAAACTGGAGAATGTAGGCTACAGTTATGGATAGTAGATTTTGAGCAAGGGCCCCTCCTGCTGTAAAAAAGATTAAACTACATCTGTCTGAGGATGGAAAGATGCCCAACTTAACCTACAGACAGATTCAGTTGAGGTTATAATACATGCTTCCTTTTCTTAAGATACATTACTTCCTTATAAGACTAAATCAACGGCATTAAAGGAGCACCAGAGTGCCGGAAAAGTAAAATAACTCAGCTTTTCTAACAATATAACATATTTTTCCTCATTGTCACCAACTGGAAGCTGTATTTTACAGACTTTTCTGATCTAAACAAGTTACATTCGTGGCTAAAACCACTTCAGAAGTGCTACTGGTAAAGGATCTTATCCATAAATTCAAACCAGATTATTTAAAGCAGAGACAGTTTTTTTCTCTCTCTCTCTTCAAGAGGAAATCTTGCAAATTCCTGATGGGAAAAAAATCATCAATCAGAGGTTAAACTGAGGGCTGAAAAAGGCAAATCAATTCACAAACACACACATTTGCTTTCTCTGTGTGATCTTTTTATTCAGGCTAAATGTGCAGCTAAACATTACAGGCAGAGAGGAGAAGGTGAGAGGAGCTGAAGTTAGATGTGTTGAATCACAGAGAGGAGGAGGAGGAGGAGGAGGAGGAGGAGGACCGGCTTTACCTTGATCCTGGGCCTGAGAGGAGGACAGCAGCAGTGCCAGGAGGGCAGCCGCCGCCAGAGACAGGCTGCTCTTCATCTTCAGCTCTTCTGGCTCAGCAGCACATGAATGAAGCTGCGAGAGGAACGAAGGAGGCGGTTAGACCTTTTATAACAGCAGCCCCGCAGCAGCCTCAGGGCTTCACAAGACCCTGCAGCAACCCGAAGGACCTCCATCAGCTGCATCATGTGCATTTACTAGCATTTCAACCCACATACAGTCAATTAGCTGCACAGAAGCCAACAACAAAAAGGCAGGAATATTTAAAAATACATATTTCCACCATGCTTGCGCTTGTAAAAGCTGCTCCTCACATATGGAAAAAATATTACGTGACAAACTTTATATGCATGAAAGGATAAAGTCCAAAAATCCACAAATTAACTGCTTTAAAAACCAATAAAACCGGTTTAATATCATGGAAAACTTCATAATAAAGGCGCACAGCAGCAAATCCGTCTCTCTCTCTCTCTCTCTCTCTCTCTCTCTCTCTCTCTCTGTCTGCCTTAGACTTTCTCTCGTTTCTCTCTTCCTAAAGCGGCTTAAACTCTGCTGCAATACACCGCAAAGCGTCCAGCTCAGTATCTAATATCTCTGCCGATAAGATAGACCCAATCTAACCGAGAGAAAGCCTTTCCACAGCTCACAATAACCGAGCATCAAGTCCTGGCGCCTGCGCAATTACGCACCACAATGCCAAACAAAAGTCCACGCGTCTCTGGACATTTCCCAATTAAAACTGAATGGTAACTGGAATATTAGAGACACTAAAGTCTGGAAACGACACCGCCTTTAAAAAGCGCGAGAAATTATTTAATCTCAAATAATTCACCCACAAAAGAAATTCCCAAACCATGCAGGACTGACCTATAGAGGAGACTGTCGAATTGCTTTGGTTTGATTCAAGAAAATAAAAAATAAAATCGGTTTAAGTCTCAGTTGTAGACCCCCAACCTGAGAATAGGGAGAGTGAGGTGGTCCGGTGTTGCAATCAGAGAGCTCCGCGGGTTTTTGGTTCCCAGACGCGTCGGTGAGCCTCTTTCCAAGTGGGAAGACTCTCCACACAATCTGCTACTTAACAGGGGGGCTGCTCCCAGCTCTGCCTGCCCCGCCGCGAGCTCTTACGACATCCAGCCGGGCCAAAAAATGATGTGTAACCTCTCAAAGACACACACACACACAGGGAGGAACACACACACTCGGAAACTTTTACATAGTTTTCTGCATTCCTTTCCGGTGATGGAGGGCTTCTGTGCGTCTCGGCCGCAAGGAGACAGCAGCGCAGATCTGCTTTTCGGGAAGAGGGGGAACTGACTGAGGCTTTTACCCCCTTTTTCATTTCATGAATCAATGGGAAAATATTACACAGTCTTGTTAACTAAACCCCAGGTCAGTCTTTTCCCTTTTTTAATGCATTATTCCGGTTCTCAGGGACGGAGCAGACGTTTCTGGGGTCCTCGGCAGTGCTTTGATAAAGCAGCAACAGTGAATTTAACTATAATTTATTTAATTAATTACAGTTAACTCAAAGAAAGTGAAGCAAAATGCACAAAGTCTCACACAGAAAGTTTAAGGTTACTTAAGAAACGATTCAATTCCTGATTTTACCTCAAAAATTCAAACATTTCCCACATTTGGTCCAGATTTGTTGCAGGTCTTCCAGTCTTTATTGATCAGAACCTGAAATTATCTCTGCCCCCCAATACACGTGTTAGCAGAACATGGTGATGCAGCCAAACATCTTGTCACATAAATCCACAAATATGTTACAGAACGACACAAAAAAAAGGTTACAAATGCACTGAAAGGCCAAACTTTAGTAACCTGGGTCCAATCCGGAGTGTAACAGGTTTGGTGTAAAAACACATTCAGTGTAAAGTCCCTGAAATCTCCTCCAATAGTTGTTATAGTTGCTATATTGCAACAATATTCCTCTTTCACAATAACACAATTTATGTTTGTGTCACCCAAAAAATGTAAAGTATGTCAAAATCTTATATATGTGGCAATATTTGTGTACTGAGTTTGTGTCTAATACTGTGATAGCACCCCCAAATGTAGTTACTTGTTGTATTTTATAAGATTTGCAAGCAGAAGGACAAAATTTGGGCGCAGCATCTCAGAAATCTCTCATTAGTCACAAGTGAACAAATGTATTGCGGCACCACAAAAATGTGTTAAGTGGAATCCAACAATTTGTCTCCAAATTTGTAAATATGCCCAACAAATCTTTAATTATCATAGTTTCCCCCGAATCTGACAATCAGCTGACATCAAATTTGTTAAATTATCCACAAAAGATTGTGACCTTATTATATGTAAGACCATTATTTGGCTCTTTAACAAAGCTGAAGTAGTTAAATCATGACAAAGGCGCCCCCTGGTGGCCGTCTGAACTTCAAACTCTACTAGTTATCAATTCAATTCCACATAAATGTTGCCAAAACCATCAGATGAGATCTTTTTTCCAGCTGGCAGGTCGTCTCGTCCTGGCTTTCTGCACCATCCAATCAGAAGTGTGTCGGCTTACGCAGCACATTCCTGAGTGTTGGGTTTTATCTATTAGAGTATAGATGGAAGAGCTCATCTGGTGACTTTAAAGTGTTAAATGATCTGCTGTGGGTGTGGACTGATAGCAGAACAGGCCCAGGGCTGTCTCCTCCTGCACTCTGACTTAAATTAAAACAGACAACAGAGAGGAATCCACCCAGCACACAAACTGTAGATCAACACGAGCTATTCGCCAAATTAAACAATCATATTCTGGATGTTTGGTTTCGTACAGAAGCAGCTCGTAGCAGGATGTGACTGCGGACAGAGTATGTTGTTAAAACACTTTAATATGTAGATTTCAGTGACACGGTTCCCTCCAGTCTCAGCTGATTTCTTTGTAAACGTCGCCCTCTAGTGGCGGGAAGCTGAACATCCACACGGGGATAGCTGCAGGGCTGCATTGTGGGAATGTGCAGTTTCTGGCTGTCGTACAAACATTATGAAACATTCAGTTGAAGCAATATAATAACATTGCACTCATAGTTGGCACAGAATGAATGCTGTGTGAGATAATGTTGCACTAATTGCTAAATTAATCCGGATTCTTAAAGTCTTGTGGTTTGTTTAAAGCAGCAGTGCCCAAAGAAAAAGGGACAAAACTAAAGCTTGAAGTTGTCGTAACTTCAGTGTACAGGGTCCAATCTTCATCATACTTCATGTATTTGGTAATAGTCCCACCCTGAACACATCTACATATTCAGTCATAGTCACAGCGCCCCCTAACAGCAACTTGAAGTAAGTCTTGTGTGGCTATTTCAATTTGATTTACTTGATTTTCACGGTATGGTGTACACATGACATATTGGCGCCTGAGGAAATTAGTCAATTATCCAAAGTACAAGCAATCCTTAAGGACATAAAAACCTGGATGAGCTGCAGTTGTCTGATGTTTAACTCAGACACAATTGGAGTTGTTGTACTTGGCCCCAAACACCTCCTAGAATCACTTTCTAAAGATATAGTTTCTCTAGAGCAGGGGTTCTCAACCTTTTGCAAGCTGGGCCCCCCCAGAGCTGGTTCATTGCAGCTTCTTTAAATCAACTCTTTATCACAGAAAACCCTGGTTATGTCCACTGTTAGAAGTGTCAGATGGAGCTGAGATGTCCTGTCTTGTGCAGGAATGAGTCTGCTGGCATCGAGCAACCCGTTGGTTCGTTTGTGGTAGTTAAATCCATCGTTTCATTAGTCTGTAACTTGTGTTGAGTTAGAGACCCAAATGTTGGACAGAGTTCTGGCTTTTTTTTCCTTCTCAGATTTCCCCTATAGTGGAGTTAATAAAGGATTATTTTATCTTAATGCGCTGGTCTGACTGTGTTCCTTCTTCCAGGATGGATCATGGTGGAGAACAGAGACTGAAACCTGGTCTGAGAAAGTGTAAGTTTGACAACACATAATCAAGTCCATAGCTTTGGTATAAAGCCCAAGGCTCAGCAAATGTGCTATTCTAATTTTTTTTAAACAATATTTATAAAAAATCAGGGTCTAGGAAAACCTGGGAACACTTGGAATTTTATTAAAATAACAAAAAGTTCTGGAAATAATTCATGTTGTCCTGAAAATGTTGCTCATAATACAAAATGTTCTGTAAAACAAGATCAATTCTACTTGATTTGAACTGGTACTGTTATGGTTCGAAGAAAACTGTAATAAACTGCAGTGAAACCAGAGACACCCCCCACTGTTATAAATAAGTCAATACCAGGCCTATTTGGTAGATGATAGGACCATCTGGAAGTCAATGCTGTCCTATATCGTCAATAAGAACTCCTGGACAATGAAGGAATAACTTCATAGACAATATGTTGATGAATAAACAGAAACAAGCTGATAACCTGTCTCTCCATCAGACGCCTGTGAACTCACACTGGACACAAACACAGCGGACAGGTTCCTCAGACTGTCCGACAGAAACAAGAAGGTTACGCTGGTGAGGGAGGAGCAGCCGTATCCCGATCGTCCCGAGAGATTTGACCGCCTGCAGCTGCTGTGTGCGAGCGGTCTGAGCGGTCGCTGTTACTGGGAGGTGGAGTGGAGAGGAGAGGTTCATATCGCAGTGACGTACAGGCGAGTTGAAAGGAGAGGAGGCGGTTCCGACTGCTGGTTCGGAGGAAACGATCGGTCCTGGAGTCTGAACTGCTCGAAGAGTTGTTACTCTGTTTGGCACAATGAGAAAAAGACAGACGTCGTTCTTCCCTACTCCTCGCAGTCTATGTGGACTGTCCTGCCGGCACTCTGTCCTTCTACACAGTCTCCTCTCAGACACTGATCCACCTCCACACCTTCAACACCACGTTCACCGAACCTCTTTATCCGGGGTTTCGGCTTGGGTTCACGTCTGAGGCCTTGAGTGGTTCCTCAGTGACTCTGTGTTCAGTGTAGGAAGGAGAGACTCCTCCCGTGTTACAGAAACACTTTTCATTTTTAATTTAAGGAAAGATATTTTAGCTGACTATATTCAGAAAACACCTTAAAGTTTCAGCTCCTAACTTCTTAACCACAAGAGCTTCCCCTCGGAGGGAGGGGTGGTGCCCTGTTTGTTTTAATTATTATTATTCAGCATTTTATATATTTGGTCTAAACTTTTGTATTTAGTTTATCATTCTCATTGTAGTGAATCTTTTAAAAGAGGTAAAAGGTTGTTTCTGATCTCCAGAAACCTGAAAAACTCCTGGGGAGTTGATGATTGAATCACATATATCAATGTTTGCTGGGAAAAAACCCCTAAATTAAGATATTTGACCTAAAAAAAAGAAAAAAATTGAATATAAATATCTAAATAAATTGTTTTATTTGCAAATATTCCTACATTTTTCCAAATACAAGTGTACTTTTAATTAACCTTAATGAATGAGTGAAGGTTGACAGCACATTGGAGAAGCAGCTGATCCATGAATATATTCTTCCATGATCACCGATATAAAACAATAGGAGCATCACACAGTGTATTTGAGGTTGTATGGATGAGCTGGATCAGCATATTAGTTTTTATATGTCTGTGTAATATATTTTAAATATATTTTATTTCTTACAGCTTTTTATTATTTTACATTTTGAATGTACTGTTGGAGCCTGTTGGAGAGGAGGCTTGAGAGGGCAGATTATTGTTTGTATTGTGTATTATATTAAAGTTCAATAAAGAGAGTTATATAGTTATTTGATCAGCTGAGAATAAAAATATCACAATATCAACATGCAGATGGTGTTTGATTTAAGATAAACTCTCGTTGACGACTAGTATGATTATTTATTATGGATAGTGTTAAATCTTTAATAATAATCAAATCTTTTATACTGAAATGACTTCATATATCTCATTTTGTTGATGTTTGATTAAACATTTGCTGAAATAGGAAATATAATAGAAACAGTACAACTTACAGTGAGACAGTGAATGTCACTGCAGACTCAAAATATGGCTCTGAAGGTAAAACAGGATGGATGGATGGAGGATGGATGGAGGATGGATGGAGGTGCTCAAAGCTATCCTACAGCTGCTCTGTTTTACCACACTGTGTCTCCACTGAAGGAGCAGCAGCACCCTCTGCTGTCAGCAAACAGAAGTGAAAGATCTCACAGCAGCTGGTTTTCCCACTCAGTCTCACATCCCAGTACGAACCAGGTCTGACCCCACATAGCCTCCAGAATGAGACTAGATCAGGTGTGTTCACTCTGGGAATGACTCCCCAGTCTCTGACACTTCCAACTCATTCTTACCTGACAGAGGAGATACCTGATCTAGAAGGTGGTTCCCTCAGAGTGAGGCTCAACCGTTGCTCCCTTGCTGTGCTGATTCCTCTGAGTGTACAAAGTGCAAATGTATCTGCAGATTCTACGACTCAACATGGCAGTTTGGGAGTTTGATCCCCTCTAGTATTAACAAATCCTGTATCTTGCTTCACAACCTAACCCCGACAGCCTTTACGATTTACAGTGACGTCATGAGTTTTCAGGCATCACGGGGGATTAGCTCAGATGGTAGAGCGCTCGCTTAGCATGCGAGAGGTAGCGGGATCGATGCCCGCATCCTCCAAACTTTTTTTTTTTTTTTTTCGACAACAAAACAAACAATAATGAAGTTATACTCACGAGTTGCTGTAAAGATCTTCTCTGGTGAGTCGTATTTTAATAACGAATTTAATGAATGCTAATTAGCTGCACAGTCAGAGTGAACGCCTGGAACAGGGATAAAGAGTAATGCCCGAAGGTTGTGTTAAAAGAAAGAAATTATATTTACAATGAATAAAAAAAATACAGTGAATAAAAAAAAAGAAAAACAAACAGCGTAAAAATCGAAATGTAGATGTTTTATCCAGTCAGCAAAGATACAGTACTGCTTACTATTTATAGTGACGTCATCAAATTTGGAGCATGATGGGGGATTAGCTCAGATGGTAGAGCGCTCGCTTAGCATGCGAGAGGTAGCGGGATCGATGCCCGCATCCTCCAAACCTTTTTATTTTACCTTTAACTCAAAGATTACATGCTGTTCGTGGAAATACAATGTGCTAGTGCTATCTATTATTATTATTATTATTATTATTATTATTATTATTATTATTGTCTGTATTTTATATTCTCAAAAGGGTTATATAAACACATAAACTAGGCAACCTCTGTAGAATGTAATCAGATTAATTAAGTAAAGTTAGTAAAGTAGTGGGTGGGTAGTCTCTTAAAGAACCGTAGTCTGGGTGAAAGATCGATTCTGACTGGCTGCTAGGTGTCCATTAATTCCTGTTTAGCGTTATCCTGTTTGAATTCAACTAAAAGCTCCCAGCACCAAACTCCCTTTAAGAAATATCACATTTTAACAATTCCTACTGGTCCGTAAAAACACTTAACTCTAGAAACACGAGCTAAAGGAGGTCACGTGTCGACAGTCTTCTTGTCAATTCGGCACCAATATAATCGATAAAGATAAACTGTATTGTGTACAAACTTGACATTTTGTCGCTTCAGCTCACTCAGCCTCTGTTGTAGCTGCACTGTTGGAGTGGAGGGGAGAGAGTGGGAATGAGGGACCGACAGTTACTGAAGTTAAGATTTCTCACAGATATAAGAGCTGGTTGGCGGATCAGATACACGCCGAATTCAAGACCGACTCACAACACTGTTAATTCAACGTCTATTTTGTGTGTGTAGTTATCTGAGAACTTTATTTTGGGTTTTACGTTTCAATCACAGACTTGGATCCTTTTTTCATCAAAGGAATTCTGTTGCATCATGGGAGATTAGCTCAAATGGTAGAGCGCTCGCTGACAACAGGAAACAGCCACATCTTATGGGGCATCCATAAGAACAGCGGCTGACAGAAGTGGTCAGGTGAGGCGGGAGGCTGGGTGTGAATGAGGAGGGGCGGAAGTTTCAGCTGGGCCACTAGCTCTGGCTTGCCGGTTCGTGGGTTGGCCTTGAACAATGTGTGCCGAATCCACTCTTGCTGGAAAGGTGGAAGCTGATCCTTCCAGTGACTGGGAAGCTCAGCTGGTGGCTGATGAACAACAAGACCTGGTATCGCTACTGGAGGGGGATCGGCACAGGCCTCCAGATGCACAGTGGTTGCAAGAGCTAATGAAGGAGAGATGAAGCAAACAGGCAGCAAAACAATATTAGGTTGACTGTTGCATTTGATAGTAATATGCCATAAATGCAGCTCACAAACAGGCACAGTGCAGAAATACTACAGAAGGAAACAGCAAAGAACCCAGTGTACACTTCTTTTAAGAAGTGAACTCAAAGAATGCATTCCGGTTGATGTGATATAATTCTGTATTGTGAAGAAAAATATATCTAAAATGTAGAAAGTTTCCACAAAATAATATTTCCTAGCGGTCATTAAACACTTTCATAATATTTGCGCATTTGTGTCATATGCCACACCTGTATCTAGCTGTGCTTCACATTGCGATGCAGCAGATACCAGTTCCTCATCATCATCATCATCATCCTCAGAAGTCCCTGGAGAACAAATGTTAAAACTATTAGGCTTACTTTTAATACACAGAGACAAATGTATGCAAGATGGTGCATACTTACCAGCAGGGAAAAGCTGCCGGTGGGCCATGTGTTCGGTCGGGGTTTTGCAGCTGGAGTTAAGGTGCACCGCGGTGCTGGAGCTGGAAAAAAGTGGACAAGTCTGTGTAGTCAGGTAAATGGTAAAGCTATACATGTAGAACTGCTGTAGGGGAAATTCAAAATTCACAATTCACACTCCTACTCACAGGGTTTAACTGGTGACATCAGTTTTCTCGCCAGCTGTGAGGGAGACATCTTTTTGCCACGCGCCAGCAGCGCTTTCACAGTCACAGACAAAGTGGAGGCTGCAGGTGGAGGTGCAGAGGCGCTGGAGGCTGCAGGTGGAGGTGCAGAGGCTCTGGAGGCTGCAGGTGGAGGTGCAGAGGCTCTGGAGGCTGCAGGTGGAGGTGCAGAGGCTCTGGAGGCTGCAGGTGGAGGTGCAGAGGCGCTGGAGGCTGCAGGTGGAGGTGCAGAGGCTCTGGAGGCTGCAGGTGGAGGTGCAGAGGCGCTGGAGGCAGATGTACGTCTCTTCAAGACATATGCCTTGAAATGGCCATGTTGGTGTTTGGCCGGGCATCTGCTGTAACCAGGTACTTGATGAGGGCCTGGGCCTCTTTGCTCTGGTCCTCATAAACCTCGGAGCGGCCCTGGGATTCTCCGAACTCCACCATCAAACAGCCCTGGTCTCCAGTTTCCCGCGCTTTAGCCTGCATTTCCTGCTTCTTCCTAAACTTCTCCAGTTCCTCTGTCATCTCTCTGATGTGAGAAGTGTACTGCTGGAACAGCTGTTTATTCTCTGACAGAGGGTTTGCCTGCACTCTTTCCTTAGCAATACTATGCACTAAATACACTGCATAGCCAAGACTGTTCTCCAGGAGCCATCTAAATCTCTGGCCCTGGTACATGCCAAACTGAAGCTTGCAGTAAGCCAGTACTAAAAACAGTCAGTGGGGTCTCCACCGTGGCCAGTGACAAAAGTACCGGCCTCTGCCAGCACCTCCTCTTTGGGTTTAGCCCTTCCAGACTTCACACTTTCCACTGTCTTTGCCTCCTCCGACGGCGCCATGAGAAGTCTGGTCGACCTGGCTGACTGGCGGCGAAAAACTGGGTAGGCATACATCTTCTGAATGAAAATAAGAAAAAGACTGTTACCTCTAGTCATCTGAAAGATACCTGCATGTAAGTGTGTACAGTCCACTGTATATTCAACTGTACCAGAGGTTGCCTGCCCCCAGGGCTAAATCATTATTTGTCTGTGGGCATTATTTATTTATTTATTTATTTTAAATGAGGGGAGGCAACCTCTGTTACAGTGTATCTGACGTCACAACATTGGTACCATTCATACAGCTAAAACTAATGACATTATTTATTGTAAGTATGCTGCCCTGCTGCTGCATTCCTAGTTTGCAGAGGGGTATTGCACAAAACCAGGATAAGGGATTAAGCCGGGATATGTTGGTTATCCTGGCTTAATTTAGCCTCAAGTCGGTTGCATGAAAGCAGGTCAAACTTAACCCAGCCAAGTTACTATGGTGATTTATTCTCTGCAGCTAGCCTGCTCCAGACCAGGCTAACAGCCAGGCTAACATTAATCCAGGTGATTCACCTGTATTTCCACCGACAATCCTGTGAGGAATTAATGTGTTTTACAGCATGTCCATGGTCTTTCTAAGTATGTTGCATCATTTTAATTATCCTGCATTCAAATATTACATATATATTGTCATTTCTCATTTCATTTCAATCTGTTGGCTGTTTGTAATTGCAACAGTCTTTTTATATTGATTCAAGTGGTAGTATTATTACTCAGGACAAGTGTTATATTGCTATGCTAATGAAGACTGCTTGTCAAAATGCCGTCAGAGGTTTCATAAATGTGTTTTATTGCAGTAATTGAGATTACAAAACACAGCTGATGAAGTTGCAAAGGTGTTTTCAATGAAATCTGTGACAAGGGCAATATAGTATATATATTATGGCATACCGTTTAGGAAATTAATCTTTGAATATATAGAATGAAACTTGACTGGTCATCAAGGCACTGCTGCCATCTTGTAGAAGTGAGAATGAGTCAGTCAGGAACCTTGTGGCAGCAATACTGAGCAATGAGGACATTATTAACTCATTGACAAGTGCTTGTATGGGCCAAAATCCTTCCCATAGTACCCGTGCCCAATACCGTTATCATGACGAAGAAGTTCACTCCCTTTTTAATGGTGGCAGACCGACTACAACAGGCCTCAGGCTAAATCCTGACAGAAAAAGCAAAAAAGTTTTCCAGTTTAAGAAAGTATTGTAATATTTCAACTGATGCCATTTTGTAAAACCAGCTAATTCAGAAGGCTATCACTTTGATGAAAAGGATACAACTAGGTTTTCAATTTCATTCAGTATTCTCATATTTTTATCAGTATATCCAAGCTTCATTCCATATATCCAAAGATTCATTTCCTAAACGGCATGCCATAATTTATATATATATATATATATATATTATTCACAGCTGTTCCCTCTTCATAATGGCTTGCCCTTTCTTGGAGGATGTACTGGATGAGGAAGCCCTAATCCTCAGACGAGCATTTAGTCATGCAAGAGTCTTCTGGGACAGGTCAGACCCATTGGCCGTTGGAGATGACTATCTCAGTGAGAGATACAGATTCTCAGGTGATGGACTAAGATATTTATGTAGGCTGCTGGGTCCAAAAATACAGCACCAGACGGCAAGAAGCCATGTTCTCACTGTACCACAGATGGTCTGTGTTACAGTGAGATGTTTTGCAAGTGGGAGCTTCCTTTATTCTGTTGGGGATGCAGAGAACCTCAATAAAGGAACCATTTGCAGCACATATCCTGGCTTGGTGGGCCGCCCCCTGTGCCAGTTCTATGGGCTTTTTTTAACTGCTACAATCATACAGACATTCAACATGTCAGCAGACACCTAATCTATTCACCTCATTTGTTCACTGTTATCTACTTTATAGTCACTTACCAGCCTGCAAAATGTTCTTGTATTTAACTTTAACTTGCTGCCAGGTCCTTTTATGGCCAGACAAGTTTGTTCTTTATGAAGGATAGAAAGATAAAATAGATAAAAATAGATTAAATGACACACATTGTGGATAATTGTTTGCACTTAATCATACTCTACATTTAAGTAACATGCACCTCTACTTTCCACTTTTAAAGCAAAGTGTACAACAGTTGATTAGTGGACTTACAGTAACTCCTTTAGTCCTTTAATTGTAGCCTAATTATGACAGTTCCAGTGGAGCACTGTTTATTCATTGTACAGTTTTGGACTACTGAAGCATTAAGCCGGTCCGCTATTGTCTGCCAGGCTTTCTCTCTTTCTTTAATTATGGCATTGGTATTGGCTTTTTTTCTTATATCTTTCACCTCTTCATAGAACTCCATCAGGAGCTGTTGTTCAGCGGCCATGAAATATGAAGCGCGACTCTTGGTGATTCTGTGAGCGATCGTGAGGTCTATTTCAGTATGCCGTTAACAAGCACTTATCCCGACTATCTACACCTGGCTTAACATAGCCGCACCTTTTCATCCTGGCTCGGCAAACGTGCAACCAATTAAGCCAGGATGCGCCGAGCAGGCTAAGTCAAGCCGCGCTTGCTCAATTATCCTGGATTTCTTTATCCTACTTTTGTGCAATACCCCTCCGGACTAGACAGCTAACACTGGTCTCAGTAATGTGATGGGATTTCAGTTCATGGGTTTCATCAGGTCCCTTTCCACAGGTGTATTAATCAAGCACCATGCAGTCTGCATTCATAATCTAGGTGCTTGGTTGTATACACCTGTGGAAGAGGACCTGATAAAACCCATTAATAATCCACAACGAGTGCTTTCCTTCCTTTTACTGAAGCTTCCAGCAATACAGGAGACTGAGACTCGTTTTTGGTTGTAAAACTGCACAAACAGAAATAAAATACAAACATTTCTCATAAAAGAAATATTCTGCATTTGTGTCTGATCCGTCATTATTCACATGAATGGACTGAGCGACAGCACCTACTGGCTGTTAATGCTATCGAACATTAACATTACTGTTTGCAAGCTATAGCAATGGCAACACCTAGGGATGAAGAGGAAATGTGTCCGATAATACCACATCACGTCTAAAAAGCATATCTGACCTTAAGATTGATGAATGGATGAAGAGCATGAAAACACCAATGCGACTGCGCAGTACCTGATAGCTGACATTGATGAGACTGTACCGACCGCCGAAGAGTGAGACACAGGGGAGAAACGTGATTGGTCAAAAGTAAGCCCACAGGGAGAAACGTGATTGGCTCATTTGGGCTTACTTTGGGTTTACTTTGCCCTGCGAGGAAGGGAGCCAATCTTTCCGCCCCTCACGCAAGTGAAAAATACTGGAAAAATACTGAATAATGTAATAACAGATATGTTTTCCCCTGCAACAACATCCAGGTGATATCCCTGTGCGTTATGACCGATTTCGAGTTTTATGTTTATCGAGTCACCCGCCGGAGCTGGATTCGAACCTGCGGTTTAAATCCCCAAGCTATGACGCCCCTTAGCGGTCAGAGATCCCATAGTGATTTCACGTCATTGCATTGATTAATACTTATTATTTTCGTGTGTATTATTAAGAGCATTGCTTTAGCTTTAAGAGATATGCCCCCCAATGACTAGTAATGTTTATATCTATCTATCTATAATAATAAAGTGTGCCATAGCAATTTCATGTCATTGTATTAATACTTATTTTGTGTTTATTATGAAGATTACTGCTTTGGCTTTAAGATCATATGGAGTTATATAATATATATATATATATATATATATATATATATATATATATATATATATATATATATATAATGACTTGTGATGTTTATTTCTCTTTCTGTTAATATAATGATCATAATAATAATAAAATGTGCCTTCAAAGACTGTGGGACAATATGGAGCTTTTTTGATGATGCACAGGCTGAGTCTTAAATGTTGGTATAATCAGATTTAATGTATCTGAACACAAGATGTAAAATAAATTAGTATTGAAATGAAAACACACACACCTCAGAAAAACTATATAAACACAGGGAACTATACACGCAAACACACAATATACAATATATACAATACATACAAGCAAAACATAGTTAAAAACTTATTTTTCTGCTCTCTGTTCTGCCAACCACTCTTCAAGAGATTTGCCATTTGAGGCACGTGAGCAGAAGGCGGCACTGCCATGACGACTATGCCCAAACTCCTTTGTTTTGGGCTGCCCACACTGGCTACAGGTATTGTAGGTGACCCCTCTCGCATATTTCCTCTTGTGGACTCCACTCTCCTCCTCAAGGGCCCGCTGGCGCCTGTTCCTGTGCGTGTACCGGGACACAGGAGTAGCAGGTGCAGGAACAAGTGGAGCTGGGCCTGCACTGGATGTTGAGGCACCAGAAGCTGGCAGTACGCATGACACAGTGTTGTCTGGGTTGAGGATGCAAATCCCTACCCTAGGCAACATCCCAGGAGCTGCAATGGGCTGTGCAATGTCTGGTGCCGTGGGGGCAGGTGCGATGGGGCACTCCCTGGTGGCAGCAGCTGGCTGTTGGCCTGGCCGCAAAATAGAAGCCTGCCCTTCCAGATTTGGAGGGAGGACAAATTCATGCCGTGGGCCTGATGCTGAAGGAAGGAGCTGCAGTCGTTCCTTTGGTGGTAGAAGCTGGTCAGGTGCCACAGGAATCGGGTTGGTTGGAGCCATTCCCTGAGAAAGGATACTCATCTCCTGGCTCTTCAGCCTCCGTTGAAACCTGAGAGAAGATCATTTGTGTTAGATATTTATTCATTAGAGAACTATTCAGTCAATTTGAGGTAAATGATGAGCCTGACCTACCATTGAATGAGTGTCCGCTGATTAAGCTCAAAGAGCTGGATCATTGTCTCCACCATAACCCTTGGACTGTTGAGCACTAAGTCCTTGATGTGGTGGTAGTCGCTGAGAATTTTGGACCATCTGGGGGTGGACAATCCAGCCTTCTTGGTGGTTTTCTTGTGTAAAGTGCACAGCCTTATGCACATGGCCTCAACCAAGCTGCATCATAGCAAGGTACTGTAAGGTAATATCTGCAGCAAAAGGTAAGAATATACTGTTGTAATTGTTGGCAAAGACCCATTTTGATAATTTTACTGTTATTTTGGATTTGCATCTGGTATTTCACACATCATTGTTAATACATATTTGTTGCTTTGTTGTGTGTCTAAATGAAATAAATAAAATGTACTGCATTGTGTGGTCAATGACAAAATAATAATTTAATTGGAATTTTCTTATTCCAAATATATTTTAAAATGTAATATATTCATATTTTTAATAAAACTGGAATTTTAAGTGTATTTGACTTATAATATTAAGTTTTGACTATTGTACTTTTAAGTAGACTCCACTATACTTTTCTATTGTGATAACGTAAACCATTTAAGTGTATGTAAATTAAATGTTAAATTCTGACTATTGTACATTTAAGTTGACTATACTTAAACAAATTAATTTTCTCTACTGTCAAAAACTTAAACCATTTGAGGCAATCACTTGACACAAATGGTTTAAGTACCATCAACTTAACCGGGTTTACAGTGTATCGTTCATGTTATCAACTCTTTATTTACACTGTAAAACAATCTGTTATTCTATTAATATTATTATAGATCCATGTATTAAAGACAAACACAAACGCCCTGTAAACTCACTAAATATCCTGTGGATGTTTCATGTAAAATAAATAAATAATAATAATAAAATAATAAAATCAGTAACTGTAAATAATAATTAAAGATAATTAGATTTTAATACGTTTTGCAAATCTGCAATTTTTACTGTTAATTTAATTTATTATAAGTGTAATACTGTTAATAATTCATTTATAAAAATAATGGAAAAACTTAACATTAAAAAGTATTAATTTTAATGTATTAGTTAGTTAACTGACAGATATGTTGTATAATGATGGAAGTTGAATAAATGTTGTTTATCAGTGTATAAGCATTGGTAAACTATCCAAATACAGTTATCAGTGTAAACAGCAATAATTACTGTAATTTCACAGATAATGACTTTTATTACAGTTCTATAACTTTTAACATTCAGAGTCTGAAAGCTGAGTGTGTGTTGGGGGGGACTTAGAAGCAGTTATTGAATTAATATTGAATGGTAAATAAAAACAGTAATAGATAGATAGATAGATGGATAGATAGATATACTTTATTGATAGTGTGTGGGAAATTGCAGTGTAGCAGCGGCATTACACACAGTAACAACACAATAAGTAAAGAGAACAACATAGACATATCAAAAAAAGCTATATAAAATGCAATATAAAAAATGTATAGAATGCATAAATATGTGGTATAATTGTAGTGCAAAGTAAAAATATAAGGTACAGTGAACAGATAAAACATATAAGGTTCTAGGAGACTGTATTGTTATGACCAGAGTTTTAGCTGTTATTGTACAGTGTGATGGCATGTGGCAGGAAAGATTTCCTGTATCTGTCCCTTCGACAGCGGAGCTGGAGCAGCCTGTGAGAGAAGGTGCTCCGCTGTCTGACCACTGTGTGATGGAGAGGGTGCTGATCATTATTGTAAT